GTTTTTGATGTTTTTTATATCCTTCTCCTAACTGCTCCCTCCCCATCCCTTATATATAGCTGCCCTTCTCACAAAACTCTGGGTGGCACATATGTTAAAAAACATCAATTCACAATAACAGCAAAAATTATTACTAAAAACATCAAAAACTATAAAATATAGCTAAAATGAAATGGGACTGGGACAGGAAAATCTAATTGGAGAGAGGTGGTTTCTCCAATAACCTGGCCCTATGCCATGTAGGACAAGGGTCCCCAACACCTGGGTCATGGCCCGTTTGGGAACCTGGCCACGCAAGTGAACTCCACTCAAACGAGAGGCGGGTGGGAGAATGAGCACACAACTCCACTTGGGCAACCAGCGGACACTTGCACACACAACTCCACTCATACGAGCGGCAGGCATTTGTGTTCACATACAAAGCTCCATTCTGCCCCTCACACACAACCCTCCCCTCTACCCCACCTGCGCTAGGCCACCAAGCTGGGAAGTTTGGGGACTGCTGATGTAGGACTTTAAAAATCAAAATAAGTATTTGATTTGGTCCTGAAGACAAACTTGTAGCCAAGGCAACTTGCTGAGCAGAAGTATATTATTTGTTCTACAAGGAACACACCAATTCTGCTGCATTTTGCACCAGTTGAAGTTTCTGGGTATTCTTCAAAGGAAGCCCTGTGTAAAGCAGATTTAAAAAGTCCAGCCAGGAAGTGACTGGGATGGGACATGAGAAACTGTGAACAGGGCCCCTCAATCTAGGAATGGGCACAACTGGTATATAATATGAAGTTTATGAAGCCCCTCTTAGCCACAACTATCACCTGTCCTCAAACAGGAGCTGTGAATTCAGGAGAACCCCCAGATTGAGCACAGAGTCTGTTTAGGGCAATATAACGCCATCTAGCAGCAAAGATGTCATTCTCCCAGAACTGGAGCATCCCAAAACCCAAGGCTTGTTGTTCCTCATCCAAACTTTCACAGTCTCCAGACACCACAAGAAAACATTTGCAACATCACTTAATTTGCCAAGGCCAGACATATGTAATTGAATATCATCAGCATATTGATGATACCTCATCCCATGGTGATGGATAAGCTCACCTAGCAATCTCTTTTAGAAATCAATGGGAGAGGAGAAGTACCAACCTCTGTTGGACCCCACACATTAGGAGCCCAGGGCAGGTTTTCTCCTCCCCAATCACCAATCATATCAAAGTTCCTGCATGCTGAATTCATGTGTGACACTTCTCTGATAATTTACACAGTAGCATCCACAGGATCTGGTGATGCATGTAGAAAGGGCTGAGGGATATATCATGACATTGTTATTTATGTTAGTCTGACTAGCCCACCTCCCTCCATTTTTTCATAGTTGTCATCATATTTGTTTAGTCACATAAATCATTCCATTTGGGCTTTTCACATTCAAACATAAATACAGATGCACCTAAATCCATGTTGGCAAAGAAGCTGAACTGCTCAATAAATAAATAGTAAGTATTTTCTCTTATCCTAGCTAGTAAAGCATAATATTTATATTAAGCATAATATCATATTTATAGTATAATATTTATACTAGTAAGAAAGTCAAACTTGCAAATTCTCGGACAAGGACACAAATGTAATTACATTTAGCTTACCATTTGTAACATGTTGCTAGCAGTTGGTCTCACTGATCTTCTTAAAGCATTGTGCTTTTCAACAATCTCCCTTTGGCTTTGTCTTTTGTTACTTGACTCAGGATCAAAATCAACCTTAAGACAGAGAGCAAAACAAAACAAACATTTTTAAATCTATCTATCTATCTATCTATCTATCTATCTATCTATCTATCTAT